ACCCCCCCCCCCCCCCTTTTAAGATTATAGTAATATTTTACATGTCGCATCCTGATTTCATAAATGGTGGTTGAAAAATGATTACCTGCTAAATGGCGGACTTGGTTGAGAAATCATTACCTTAATTAATGCTCAAGGAACTTAAGTCAACCCATCAAGACTTGAGGCCAATAAATTCCTCGTGTTCTGTTTGGGCTGCATCCTTATTGGGCCACTTATGGACTATCTCGGTCCATTGGACTAAATATGGATCCAATTAATTGGGTAAGAAAATGATTATTATTATTATTAATTAATTAATTAATTAATTAATTAATAGGGTAAGAAAAGTTCTGCAAACTTATATCAAATGCTTTTTTTAATGAGCTTTATATGTAGTTTTGTAAAGTGGGTAGAATAGGTATATAAATGCTTGCCAAGCCAATGAAACAAGTGCTCTATTTTCTTCTTCTTCTTTTGGATTTATGCAAGAAAAGTCTTTTCTAACGATAGAGATGTGTGACTACAAACTTGTGGTAATTAATGGAATTTAACATTTGAAATGATAGAACATAAAAACCATAATTTATAGATTTTTAAAAACATTCATCTAAAAAATCTTTTTTTTATTGGTAAATTTTGTGTTAATTTAAATCCATTTTCCTCATTTGAACCTTTTTACCAATTGAAGCAAATAAAGATAGTGATAAATATAATTTATTTTACCAGAAAAACATTTTTTTTTCAAAAAAAAATTATCTCTTTTGTTTTTTGAAGTAATAAAAGTTATAGCCACCAAAATATTTGGTCGCATGTTCATACCTATAATGGTTTACAAGATGATTCCACCATAATCACACTTGGAAAGGTTAAGGGCGATTTAACACAAAAAACCAATATAATAATACTAAAACACATATATATCTAAAATTTTTAGATTTCGATTTCTGATAACGAAATGTACTGTTCATAATTTTCGAAACACGAATTCAAATTTCAATACTCTAATATTTGTAAGTATCTCATCTCTGGCTTGCCCTAAAACTACTAAAAAAAATAATATTTTTTTAATGATTACCCAAATAAGAAACTAATATTCAAAATAGCATTGAATGGCTTTAGTAATCTTCAACAATCAACAAACTGTTGATATCATGATTGAATTGCATAGTCAAATATATTTATAGGTTATTATTAAAATAATTTATACATTTTGAAGTATTTGGATTTCTTTGTTTGAAGTAAGGTACACACAAAATGCTTAAAGAAAACATATTAAAGAAGTTACTAAATAAAAGTCAAACAACTATAAACTCATTAAGGAAATGTTTTTCTTGTATTTTTTTTTTAATGCAAAGGGATTGAATATTCCTTCATTTCCCACATGGGCAGATATTAAAATATATATATATATATATATATATTATTACAGAAATTATGGAGTGATAAATTTGTATCGGAATAATAATGGTATGATGGAAATAGAGGATATTAGTTAGGTTTTGTTGCGAATAAACACAAGAATCGATATTATTTTTAAAATTTATAAATTAATTTAAATAATTAAAATTATTTTTAGCGATACTAATATTGACAAATCATTATGACTTTTTGGTGAATGTGGAAGCTAACTCACTTTGAAAAAATGTGTTTGTATATTTCCATGTGGAAGAGTCCGACAAAATCATGAGCACATCAATAATAACACTAAATGTATATATTGGAAAATACACATTTCACGTTCACATGTATATATATTTTCCAACATAGCTACATGTATATGATACCAAAGATAGGTACTGGACGAACGATGCTATCAATCAAATTATTTCAAAACTTATTTGATAATAATATTGTTTTTATACAATCTTTGTTTTTTTCTGAAATTATAATTCCAAAAATTACATATATGTATTATAGGTGATGATTATTCTTCGAAATGTTCATTTAGCGAACAACATTATATGATGAATTGCGAGAATATTTTCTAAATTTACTAAATTATCAGAAAATAATTAAATTACGATTATTATTGATACTTAATTGAAGGGTTTATATTATACTCCAGTTATTAAGTAAAAAAAAAATTTAAAAAAATATATATTTTTTTTAAAAAAAAAGGCATTCACACTGCGACAAAGGAAGCATAAAATCTGGAATATCCAAAACTGGGCCTCGAGCATTTAATGATGTTTTTAATCCTCACCAATCAACAGTCCCGCCTGGGCTACATACATCCATGCAATATGTGTTTGTGCGCGCGTGTGTGGGCGCGTGTGTTTGCGCGCGTGTGCGTGTATATATATATATATGGGAACGCAACACATCTCAAATGACACGTTGATATTTCTAACGAGTTGTGTTTATCCGTTACACCTAAATCAAATCATAGATCTAAATTTTAAATTTTAAAATCTAACAAATAGACGTAAGTGATGTTCGTAAGGATTGTACTTTATATTTTATTATTATTAAATTCGCGAGTCTATATTCATTTAGGCTTTTTTAAGGGCGTGATTTTATTACAAGTTCAATTTCCATTACGTTATATAGTTTATTTACTTATAATCCTTTCTTAATTTATTTATATCCATTTAACATCATAGTTCTATATTCTCGATATACATAAAAAAAATTTGGAAATTATCATCGACTCGGTTTTATTCGGAACTAAAATGAATCGCATCAATCCAAGAGTGCAGTTGTGCAATTATCATTATAATTGCATTATTTGAATAATCGTAACTTAATTTATGTAGATGACGTGTTTAAATGACTTAATATCAAAACTACCTTTAGTTTAACTTCATATCATACATTTTTTAACCTATTTTTTTTTATCAATATGAACAATCATATAGTTTTAACAGTTTGTTCAATTTGACTAGTGTAACTATCATATAATTTTAACGGTGTGATCAGTGTGATTTTGAAATATGTTACAATAATATAATGTATAAGAATGTGAAGTAAGGATATTTTGATAATACCCCGTTTAAATTATGGTAAATTACAAAAAAAAATTAAGATGATCAACATAATTTAAAATTTTTATTTGAACGGATTCTTAGACAAAATGTATATATTTATACACACATATATAACCAAAGATACACTAAAAAATCTAAAAAATCATAAGACCAAGCAGTAAAATTATAGAATTACAGAATCCGCCTATTTACACATGACATCCCGTAACCGTATCATTCGGCCCCTACTTCTCAGCCCTCGGTTTGGGAAATTTCTATCCATAGTTTAAATATTTTTGAAAAATACTAACCAAATTATTAAATTATTCGGAGTTTTGATGTTCATAACCCGCCATTTTCATTAAGTAAAACTTTTTCCTTGTTGTCACCATTGAAATGTTTTTCCGACAAGAAGAAGAAGAAATCATTTATGAAGCACGAACGGACCAAATGCTTCCTAGGGGCTATTTTTGGATCCAAAATATTTATAATTCCTCAAATGTTTTTGTTAGGAAAATGATATATATATATATATATATATATATATATTATCGGGAAAAAAGAGATTTTTTTTTTTATTTCGTTATTATGGTGTTACAAAATGGTGGGTCGACTCCTACAACTACAACGTTATAGTATAGTTTCAATCAGGATGGAACTCGTAGAAATAATTTTTAAAAAAAAAATCCAATAATTATTAATACTTTTCTTGAGAAATTTAGAAAGGTTGAAATATCCAATAACAATATACGCTTTATAAAAAAAAAACTATACACGCAATTACTCACTCTTTGTATCTAAGGTTGGTATATATTTGTAGAAACTTTTCTAACTCAGAGTCATAAATGTGAATAAATATTTTGTTTTAATGTATTCTAATTTAAATCTTGTTATATATGATTATTTTTAGACTAAATTAATTGAATTCTTTTTTTTTTGGACGAATACTTTTTAGATCTTATTAGATAAAATATTTGAAAGAATACTGTTTCTTTTGGGTTCTAACTCAAATGGGGTAAATACAATTTTCCTAAATCTAAAAAACCAAATACCAAAAATAACCTAACTTAAACAAAAGTAACCATCCATAATCACAAATATAAATTCAAGTTTTAAATCTGGTAAACCCATATCGACTAGGGATGAATGTTTCGTTATTTGGTTCGAAATTTTAGCAGTTCGGTTCGAAAACGGTTTATTCGGTATTCTAATTCGTACCATATATTATTCGGTTCGGTTCGATTTCAATTTTGATACGGTTCGGTTTCATTTTTTTAAATTATATTTTCTCAATAAAATTTTGATTTATCAAAAATTTTATAAAGTTTGGTTCGATTCGTTCGGTTTTGGAAAATTCGATTCTATAAAACAAAATATATCATTAGAAAATTTTAAATGGTACAGAGAAAATATTGAAATTTTTGGTTCGATACGGTTCAATTTTGAAGAACCGAATCGAACACCCGCCCCTATGCGGTCGCCGTCCAAAATCAAAAGTGTCAACCCAAATTCTAATTTGTATATATAGTGATTAATAAAATTACAAATTATTACAACTCATACATTTTTCACCTTTTTATTAAATCCAGAGAGAAATTAGCTGTAGAATAAGGAAAAAAAAGGAAGAATAAATGCACATCACCGAATGAAGTAATAATATTCAAACAAAAGCTGAGTGAGCCATTTCATAAACTCCTATAAAACCACGTACTGGTGCTGCAGTCCTCTCTGTAAACCTTTAAAGACGAAAACCCACCACCAAAATACAAACTCCATAGAGAGCTTTGATCTTATAATCTCTCTCTCTCTCTCTCTCTCTCTCTCTCTCTCTCTCTCTCTCTCTCTCTGTCGACAGTTAAACAAAATATATCATTAGAAAATTTTAAATGGTACAGAGAAAATATTGAAATTTTTGGTTCGATACGGTTCAATTTTGAAGAACCGAATCGAACACCCGCCCCTATGCGGTCGCCGTCCAAAATCAAAAGTGTCAACCCAAATTCTAATTTGTATATATAGTGATTAATAAAATTACAAATTATTACAACTCATACATTTTTCACCTTTTTATTAAATCCAGAGAGAAATTAGCTGTAGAATAAGGAAAAAAAAGGAAGAATAAATGCACATCACCGAATGAAGTAATAATATTCAAACAAAAGCTGAGTGAGCCATTTCATAAACTCCTATAAAACCACGTACTGGTGCTGCAGTCCTCTCTGTAAACCTTTAAAGACGAAAACCCACCACCAAAATACAAACTCCATAGAGAGCTTTGATCTTATAATCTCTCTCTCTCTCTCTCTCTCTCTCTCTCTCTCTCTCTCTCTCTCTCTCATGGATCTACTGGCAGTAGCATGTCTTTCACTCGCTGGTTGTCTGGTCTCCTACATGTTGAGATGGGTTCTTGAGTGGAGGAGCCAGAGATGCTACATGCTTCACTACGAGTGTTACAAGGGCAGAGACGAGATGAAGCTCAACACCGGGAAATGCGCAGAGGTCGTGCAACGGAACAAGAACCTGGGTCTTGAAGAATACCGCTTTCTCCTGCGGACCATGGTCAGTTCGGGCATAGGGGAGGAAACTTACGGCCCAAGAAACGTGCTCGAAGGCAGAGAGGAAAACCCTACCCTCCCCGACGCCCTCTCGGAGATGGACGACATCATATTCTCCACCACCGACAATCTCTTCCGGAGGACTGGCGTTTCCCCCTCGGAAATCGACATCCTCGTTCTGAACGTCTCGCTCTTCGCCCCGGCCCCTTCGCTTGCTTCCCGAGTGATAAACCGGTACAAGATGAGGGACGACATCAAGTGCTATAACCTGTCCGGATTGGGGTGCAGTGCCAGCGTCATATCGATAGATCTCGTCCAGAGACTGTTCAAGACGTGCAAGAACTCGTTGGCACTCGTTGTCAGCACTGAAACGATGGGTCCTCACTGGTATTGCGGCAAGAACAGATCAATGATGCTCTCAAACTGCCTGTTCCGAGCAGGCGGGAGCTCGGTTCTGTTGACGAATGACCCGAGGCGGAAGAACAAAGCTATCATGAGGCTAAAGACCGTTGTCCGAGCCCATGTCGGATCTGACGACGACGCCTATTCTTGTTGCATTCAGATGGAGGATAAAGAAGGGTACCAAGGCTTTCTCCTCACCAAATACTTGAAGAATGCCGCGGCTAAGGCCCTGACAAAGAATCTCCAAGTTCTTCTTCCTAAAGTCTTGCCCATGAAGGAACTACTTCGTTACGCGATAGTTCGGTCTCTGAAGAAGAAAACGAAAGGCGAATCCTCGGGCGGCGGGATCGGACTCAACCTAAAAACCGGGTTGCAACACTTCTGTATCCACCCCGGAGGAAGGGCAATCATCGAAGGGGCGGGAAAGAGCTTAGGGCTCAACGAATATGACATCGAGCCATCGAGAAACGCTCTTCACAGGTTCGGTAACACATCATCCGGTGGGCTTTGGTACGTTTTGGGATATATGGAGGCGAAGAAGAGATTAAGGAAAGGCGATAAGCTTCTTATGATAAGCATGGGTGCAGGCTTCGAATCTAATAACTGCGTTTGGGATATAATGAAGGATTTGGACGACGAAAACGTGTGGACGGACTCGATCCAACGTTACCCCGAGGCGGCGAAAGTCCCGAATCCGTTCAAGGAGAAGTTCGACTGGATCAACGACGAGACGTTGAGCTCCGTCCGGATCGCTTAGAAGCTATAGAGAGAAAGCTCAAACACGTTTCCAAGGTTCTTTCTTCTTCTTTTTGTTTAAAGGAACAAAAACAAGATGCATATATATATATATATGATATGCTTCAATGATACACTAAGGGGTTATTATTTCGATTTCACCGCATTTTGATTGCTTTCGCTCTCTGTTTATCCTCGATTTCAATATATACATGTACGGTCCATCCTCTTGCTCGTTACCAATAAAAATTTAATTTCTATTGCATGAAAAAATAATTTGTTTTGCGTGTACACTAGAAGAAAATTGCCGTTTTCAGTTTGAAATTCGATTTCAAAACGTGGAATGGAATTTTTTTTGTTGTTGGTTGGAAACTATTGCAATAAATTTTTTGCTGACATTATTATGAGTACACATTAGATGTAAATTGTAACCTTGGAGGTTGGTAAAAGCTTTTACTGTCTTACCTGTCACTTGACACATTTTAATCAAGCTGTTATCCGTCCAATTTCGAACCCATTACAAAAAAAAATAATAATAATAATACACCCAACGTTCCTAACTAATATAACTGTAAACGTCAAAGTTTCATTCTCGGCGACCATTCAAATAAAGATATTTAAAATGTACCCTTTTTTTATTTATGGCTATTTTGGCGGATTAATTAATATTTTTACTATTATTAAGATTTCATTTATTGGTGGATTTTTTTTAAAAAAAATTATAAATAAAAAAATGAACAGGTAGGACAGAGGGGGAGGCCCCGACCACCTCTGCAAGTGGCACCTTCGTTGAATGAATTTGGTTGGTAATATACCAATTTTGCGATGATGTTTCCTATTGAACAATAAATGATTTTTAATAGTAATATTTTCTGTTTTTATTTTTCTACGACAAATTGGTGTAATAAAAATTGGAGCAAATGGCTACTTTTGTGCATTTAAGTCTCACATTCTCAGGTAGCAAAAGATTGTATTTTTTTATATTTCATATAGGTGATATTGTACAAAGTAAAACATATATGTAATATCGAAATAATAATAATAATAATGATATAGTTGTGAATTTTGCACCGTTTTTTTAATAATAATAATAATGATTTAGTTATGTAATATCGAAAAGACAAGACTTGGGTGAAAAAGTGGAACAGGAAAAGGACTTGAGACGGTTCATGAATGGATATTGTGGCTCGAAGGAATTGCGAACAGAAGGGAAGGAAAGAGACTGCGGGGGTGGTGGTAGCTGTATGAACATTTATTACACATCTCGTGTCCTGTCCCTCCTCATTTATATGTCACGACCAACCACAAATTTCGGCATAATGCTGTTCATATTTCGGTGATTTAGCTCCAATTCTTATTTGTAAATTAATAGATCAACCTTTTGATTGGATTTGGGTTCTGATTTCCAGATATCCTATATGATCACACAAACTTTTACATTATTAAAAATAGTGAAATAACAATGAAATATCTTTACTTTTTAAAATTACCAAAATATATTTAATATTTGTTAGAAATTCCGAAATTGTTCTTTTTTTTGGTAATCAAAGAAAAAAAAATGAAGAGGAAACAGTAAATCATTTGCTTAGCAGTAAAAAGGGAAAATTGAGCACGCGTTTAACCTAATTTTTTCTTGACAAAAACAAAAAGGAAAAAAGGGGAAAAAAAAACCCTGAGCCCTAGATTAGGGTTTGATTCGACGGAAGCCATTCTTCTCTAATCTCATTTTCATTCCCTCTCCAACCATTGAATTGTTCGGTGGGGATGTGTTTCAATCCCAACTTTAGAACTCTGCTGCATAGCAAGAAGCCCGAATGGTGCCTGGTGGGTTACGAAGTCGAATTGGGATTTCGACGAAGCAACAACATTCGGAACCCCCCGAAGGTTTGTTCGTAACTCAGATTGTGTTTCTCCGTACAAAATATCATACATTTGTTTCCCATTCATGCAGAGATTTGTCTCCACCGGATCTTTGATAATGAATGCTCCTTGCAAAGTTTAAGGTATGCACCCATTCCTGTCTTCACTGCAGTAGTTTTATTCTCTCAAGTGCCAGCACTATGTATTTTTTTTCAGGTGTAATGCATTGTGAAAACTTCGAATTGAATTCAGTTCAGTTGACAACTGTGTGGGATTAGACGAAAAGGGTTTAGATCAAAATCAATTATTAATGGTTCGTCATTTATCGGATTTGGCCTAGGATTAAGGTCTGCTCATGTTTAGAGACAAGCCAATGCAGAGTCAAGAAATGGTAGGAACTTAGTTGTCCTAAGCCAGTTTCCTATCTTTTAGTCTTATCAGAACACAGAACCCATCAAATTTCCACCGGAACAGAACATAGTTGTGTTTCTCCCTAGCTGGAATATGATCGAATCCTGAAACAATGCTAAATACGGTAAATGTTACCAGCTTGTTTGGAGGGCTCATTTATGTGATCAAGAACTTAGTAGTTAAACCATGCATATCGTATAGGTAAGCAAAAGTACCATGATGGGGTTCTCTTGTTTTGCTCCTGTTCTGCTTGAGAGACCGACCACCTGAGAGTATCTGTCGAAATTTAGCGAAAGGGTTGGAGGAAAATGCCGCCTTCTTCTTGTTCCCGTTGTAGCTGATTAAACCATTGCAATGGTTTCCAGTCTTGCTTTTGTACTAGACGCCTTACTAAATCAATCTTCCATGCATAACCTGTAATCGATGTCCCCGAACCAAAATACTCAGCTACTCCACATCACAAAGTTCAAGAGATTAGGCTTCTTATCACTTGTTAAAGTTTTTTTTTTTTATAAAGCATATGATATGTCTAGTACTTTGTCTAAGTTTTTCTTAATTATCCTGTTTTACAGAGTTGTGCTTGTCTGCAGGACATGCTAGCATCATATTTGTGGTCCCAAGATTGTGAGAGGTATGGGTTCGTCCTTTGAGGATCTATGAAATCGAGTCTTCCGAAAATCTCTAAGACCTCTGGTGGTTCCTTTTCCCTTCATCCACCCACCCTTCTTCTCCCCCGAAAGCAGAAAACTCATCCCTTCGATTGAAAAAGCTGATGGATATCGAACCCAGGTAGATACCCCATGACAGAACTTCAAGTTGTTAGAAACCTCCTGGATACTTCATTAATTATCCGCACGCTGGAAAACAGGCATTCCGTCTTCTTGCTTTGCAAAGTAGAAGTAGTTTGTATTTGTTTTCCGCAAATGGATTCTCATTCTGGGTTCCTGATCTTTCTCTTTTCAGTTTTCCTGCTCGTGGATTACCCGAGATGTTTATGATTCAGCAATTGGTTTGCCACCCGACGACAACCATATCTCTAGTTTGAAAGACCTTTTGCTGTCAGCAGATTCCAAACAGATGACAGCAAAGGTACAATCTCTTAAAGATCTGCAAAACAGAACACTGTTGAGCCATTGTCTCTCTTCATTTACATTAAGAAAGAGACTGTGATTGCATGGGTGACAATACACATTTATCAACCTCGTTTTCTCAGATTCAACGACGCATCTAAATCCCCCGCCAGGCTTTCCAATGGAGATCCTGAAGAAACACAGGCCAAAGTTTCATTATAAGAACCGAAAGCAAACTAATTGGTAAGGCTTCGGGACCTTGTCTCAAACTGCAAGAATCTGTCTCTTTCATTGTTCCATGACAATTTTCCGTTAGAGTAATGTCTATGGATTAATTTAATATTCACATCTTTTCCGTAGAATAATGTTTATGTTGGACCGGTTAAGTACACAACATTTCACTTCACGATGGTAACTTCTTTTTGTCCTATCCAAACTTGATAGTTCAGATGAAACGGGAACATGAAATGTTTGTCCCATCCCGAGTTCAAACCTCAAATTTGAGGGAAGAAACGCATAATCCAAATCACGTGTAGTTCCAGATTCCGGAATTAATCTGGACCTTGATCCATGATATCCCATTAACCATGTGGTATATAAGCTGGAAAATTCAGTGTTGTTATCTTGTAGGTATATATGCCTGCTGGTTTATACAAAATATCATGGATTCTGTAGACTAATTAAATTTCGATAGATTTCGTCGTCACTGTTGGGTTTAGATATAATAACCGTATTATATTATAAAAAAAAATTACTTAGAATATAAATCGATTCAAAATGGTTCATTCTGATGGGATGCTATAAATATTTGATTCATTTTTTTAGACTTGGGTATTTTTCTATTTAATTTGATTTCGACGCGTTTGTTTTATACATTAAAATCTCTAATCAATTATCCTCAATCTATAATTGGTCACGGTAAAACCGTAAAAGTTTAAAAGATTTCTAACCTATGACGTATGCGTGTGTGTATATATATTGGTCAACTCTTGTAATTAAGTTTATTTGAAAAAAAAAAGATTAATAACTAACTGTATTTTGGTGTTAATTCTGTCCCGATAATTTTTCATTTTTTTGAACTTTTGATAACTTTTTATTTGGAGTATTTAAAGTTTTTTTTTTTTAATTTTTAGATTTTATCAACCATAATGATTGTTTTAAACAAAAAGTTAACATCTATTCTCGTTTTGATTAAACATATATAAATTAAGTACTTGAGTTCAAAAGTACTTTAATGTATTTCCGAGTTTATTAAATAAAAAAAAAGTTTATAAAATTCCATCAAAATTAATTGAACTATAAGATTTCATCAAATTAATGGAATGTATGTTCCACATCTCTTAAACCCTAGAAAATTGTGGAACACTACAATTGAATCAAGTGATTTAATTCCATCATTCCCTTTTGGTAAAAAATCTAAAATATATTTAGGAAAACATTTTCTTATTTATGTATAATTTATATGTGATGGAAAAAAAAAGAATTAAAAAAAGGGAAAAAAAATCTATAAGAGCACTGAAAAAGGAAAACCTAAGATTTTCTTCCGTATAGATGAGAGCGTCAATTGAGATTTTATATATATATA